ATATGATCATACCTGGATACAGTGCATACCAGTCGAGCTGCCGCGTTTTGTAGGCGTTGCAGCTTGCCAAGATGAACAGCGGGTGTACCATATAGCAGACCGTTGCAGTAGTCTAATCGTGACATTATAATAGCCTGTACAATGGACTTCCTATTGTCATATGATAGATACTTTCTAATACGCCGGATGTTGTATAGATGGTAATAAATAGCCTGACATATGCTGTTAATATGTGTGGTCATATTCATGTTTGCATCAAGCCAAACACCAAGATTTCTAACAGAACAAACAGCAGAAACCCTTACCTCACCTACTTGCAAGTCATTTATCGTAACCTTATTTAATTGTGCGCGTGTACCTATAATAAGAAACTCGGTCTTAGCAGCTGAAGTTTGTCTTGGGCCATCGAGGTTCTTATATCTCTGATGCAAGCTTGTAAGGCATCAACAGCAGCCGCCTCGGTAGCAGAGCCATCTGGCTTAAATGAGATGTAGAGCTGTGTATCATCAGCGTGTGTGTGAACATTAGGGAGATGGGATTCAACAAAATAGAAGAGCTTACTTGCGTATAGTGTGCAGAGCAAGGGACCTAAACATGAAGGTACCCCTTGAGGCAGATCAAAGTCACTCGAATAGCTACCGTTAATCAGGATTCGCTGTTTCCTGTTTGATAAATACGAGTGAAACCATTTAAGAGCGGTACCTGTAATTTCATACGTCACGTACAGGCGATTAACCAACACTTGGTGGTCAATCGTGTCGAATGCTGCACTCAGATCTAACAATACCAAAAGAGTAACTCGTTGATTGTCCATAGCAGCTAGTCAGTGACGTTCTGTATGAATAGGGCAGTCTCTATGCTGTGACCCAGTCGATAGTCTTACTGGAAGGTGGGATACAAGCCCGACTGAGTAACATGATCAGGCATCTGATCATAGACTGCCCTTTCGATTTATTTAGAGAGGTATTGCAGATTACTCACAGGTCTTAAATTGGATAGGGAAGTCTCTTGTTTAGTCTTCTTCGGTCTTCGATCCACGAGGGCCGTTTTCCAATCAAATGGAAAATGTCCCAAGGAAAGAGAAGAATTCACGACATTAGTGATGATGGGGAGAAGCGTATCAGACATGTCGACTACTAAGTTGGTCGGCATAGGATCGAGTTGGCAGCTTTTCTTCGATGATCTACTGTCCAGCTTCCTCATATCTTCCACAGAGTACGTATTGAAATGATCAAGTTTCTCATCCCTTGTAAACACTTTATTCTCAGACACCTCTCCAGGATAAAGAGTACACGCATCAAGCTCAGCCCGAATTTTTGCAATCTTACCGTCAAAAAAACCGCCCAATTTCATTGCCTAAGATTGAATTGTCCGTGTATTCTGGAAAACACAACTCGTTCCTCGGAAGTAACAATGATCGAGTAGCCCTGAATCGCTTTGCTTGGTCTTGAATATTGTCGTTAACGAAGTCTGAGTAGAAAGGACGCTTAGCCCGTGTGCTTATATAAGTGACGTGGTTCTTAAGTTTCTTGAATGCCAACAAATCTTCCTGTGATCTCCGTTCTGCTTTCCGGCGTTGCCTTTTTCCCTCAGCTATCTCACTGGTGTACCAAGGTACCTTGGTCCTGGCCCTCACTGTTTTGGTTTTTAAAGGTGCATGACGATGAAGAACTTGAGAGAGTGTGGTCTTGTAATCCTTTACAAGTAAGTCCAAGTCCAGTGGGGTGCTAGGATTGATAATACCTCGATCACACAGCCCTGTTGGTACTACATCATTCGATGGGCTCTCAGCTTCCTGGGATTTAGTTTTCCTAAACTTTATTATCTTAGTCTGAAATGAAGGCTTACTGATGGTAACAACACAATGTACAGCTGCATGATCGGAGAAATAATGACAGGCGCGTGGTGGACTCGTAAGAATATCCTCAATCTTTCTTGTTAGAACAAGATCCAGGGTGTGGCCATGTACGTGCGTTGGCTCTGTCACATGTTGCTCCAAACCAAGTGACTCAAGCAGTTCTAAAAACTTAAGTGCATCAGTATCAATAGGAACATCCACGTGTATGTTGAAGTCACCAACGACAATCAAAGGCTCTTTATATAGAATAGTGGACTCCATCAGGTCAGAAAACTCCATCAGAAAGGTGTTAATAGGAATCCTGTGGTGGTTATCAGAATTCTGTGGACGGTAGACGATCACAAGCCGTATCGCTCCGGAGGTCGACGTTTGGACCAACAACTCACAAAATTCAAACGATTCTTGAATTCCGTCTCGAGTCTTTTTGACACGAAATGAATCTTTATACAGTAGTCCAATGCCTCCACCTATCCGTTCTTGTCGTGGAAAGTCAATAAACTTGTGACCAGGAGGACACAGTTCCGTTCTTAGCGCAGCATCACGAGGCTGAAGCCACGTCTCGATAATCGCAACCAAATCATATTTACGTTCACAGACATAATCTACAAAATCAGCTGTCTTATTGCGCACCGATTGAGCGTTCATGTGACAAAATGACAAAAAAAAAACCCATTCACGAAGTTGGCAGACAAGCAGTGCACTTTAGCGAAGTTCGAGACATTCCTAATTGTTAATTTAGAAAATGAAGAACATGATTGAGGCGCCCATAAAGCTCCATTATTTTGATGACGTGATTTCACAATGGTTGATTATCCGCATCCCTCAGGACCAGGATTAAGTTTGAAGAGCAGATCGCCTAGTAGCACTTGATGGAATGAGGCACATGAATTAGCATAATAGGCTAATGGACGCCTGTGCCTGCGTAGACGTAACCGGCAGGGGAAATCAAACATATTCAAAATTCTCAGGAACTCAGATGGAACGTAGTAGCTGATCCGCGTACGTCGTAAGAATGTAACATGAGCAGAGCCATTGAACAGATTGTTGTGAATAACACCATTAGAGAGCTCATTGTTCCATAAAGTGTGAAACAATACGTCGACTCCGGCTAATAACGTGGCATTGTTCCTTATGCAAATAGGGCTCTCCGTCCGGCTCTCAGTCCAACAGTTCACTGAAGGCAAGAAACAACCAAATATCCCAATATTCCAGCCAGTAGAATGCGTAAGCAACTCAAAACCCAACCAG